GAGTGGGACTGAGACCAGGATTTAGACTGGGACCAGACCAGGATTGAGAGCGTAAAACCAGGACTTAGATCGCAACCAGGAAGAGAACCAGACTGTGATTGAGACTGGGACCAGAAAATGGTTCAGTCCTTGTTTTAGTCCTGGTTTAGTCCTGTTGTAGTCCTGGTTCAGTCCTGGTTCAATCCTGGTTTAGTCCTGGTTCAGTCCTGTTTTAGTCCTGGTTCAGTCCCGATTCAGTCCTGTTTTAGTCCTGGTTCAGTCCTGTTTTAGTCCTGGTTCAGTCCCGATTCAGTCCTGTTTTAGTCCCGGTTCAATCCTGTTTTAGTCCTGGTTGAGTCCTGGTTTAGTCCTGGTTGAGTCCTGGTTGAGTCCTGGTTGAGTCCTGTTTTAGTCCTGGTTGAGTCCTGTTTTAGTCCTGGTTTAGTCCTGGATTAATCCTGGTTCAGTCCTGGTTCAGTCCTGTTTTAGACCTGGTTCAGTCCCGATTCAGTCCTGTTTTAGTCCTGGTTGAGTCCTGGTTTAGTCCTGGTTCAATCCTATTTTAGTCCTGTTTTAGTCCTGGTTTAGTCCTGTTTTAGTCCTGGTTCAGTCCTGGTTCAGTCCTGGTTCAATCCTGTTTTAGTCCTGGTTGAGTCCTGGTTTAGTCCTGGTTCAATCATGTTTTAGTCCTGTTTTAGTCCTGGTTTAGTCCTGTTTTAGTCCTGGTTCAGTCCTGGTTTAGTCCTGGTTCAGTCCTGTTTTAGTCCTGGTTCAGTCCCGATTCAGTCCTGTTTTAGTCCTGGTTTAGTCCTGTTTTAGTCCTGGTTCAGTCCTGGTTTAGTCCTGGTTCAGTCCTGTTTTAGTCCTGGTTCAGTCCCGATTCAGTCCTGTTTTAGTCCTGGTTCAATCCTGTTTTAGACCTGGTTCAGTCCATTATCCGTTTTTTCCATTTTTCATTTAAAACACAAAATCGAAAAATGAAAAAATGAATCGTTAATTGTTTTTTCATTTTGGAGACAAATAATTAAATTAATAAGAAAATTGTTGTTGTTTTTTTCTTTCTTTTTCTTTTATTTTGAAAAACGAACGGATTACACTACATTATAACATCCCAAAGAATATCGTAAAATGGACTAGAATAGACTCGGTCCTGTCTCGGCCCATGCCCTTGTTGTTTTTGACGAACATTTGGGTGCGAAGTCGCGTCTTGTCCAAACAGCGCGTCTCTGCGGGGCGGTGAGAAAAGTCGAGCTGCGGGGTTTTCTGAAAAAACAAACGGGAGAAAAGTCAGACACCATCTGTGAGAAAAACAGCAGGAACAAGCACTAAACTAATTACAGCGCTCGAAAATTAGATTCAAATTAGACCTGTAACTCTGCTCGGCGTAAATGCGTAAATGCGTAAATGTGCGTAATGTCGGACGGCGAGCTCTGAAGTTTCTCTCTCGTTAACCCGGAGTAACGCGATTAAAAGTCATGCCAGACACATCACACGGGCTCCGATCTTTACTCGATTATCGGCACAGCTATTGACTTACATTAACAGATACTTATTCGATCTTATCTCGATGTTTAACACTCACTATGCTCATCCGTTATAATCAAATGACTGGTTTTGTGTAGCATTTTTCAATCGTTCGATCGTTTGTTTTTCAAAATAAAAGTAAAAATAAGAAAACGGAAAAAACAACAACAACAACAAAAACTATTTTCTTCATTATTTGTCTCCAAAACCAAAATTAAAAAAATATAAAGATTCGTTTTTTCTGTTTTCGATTTTGTGTTTGAATGAAAAATGGAAAAAACGGATAACGGACTTAACCAGAACTGAACCAGGACTAAACCAGGACTCAAACAGGACTAAACCAGGACTACACCAGGACTAAAACAGGACTGAACCAGGACTCAAACAGGACTGAACCAGGACTAAACCAGGACTAAACCAGGACTGAACCAGGACTAAACCAGAACTAAACCAGAACTGAACCAGGACTGAACCAGGACTCAAACAGGACTAAACCAGGACTGAACCAGGACTCAAACAGGACTAAACCAGGACTAAATCAGGACTAGAACAGGACTACACCAGGACTCAAACAGGACTGAACCAGGACTAAACCAGGACTAGAACAGGACTAAAACAGGACTGAACCAGGACTAAAACAGGACTGAACCAGAACTGAACCAGGACTGAACCAGGACTCAACCAGGACTCAAACAGGACTCAACCAGGACTAAATCAGGACTAAAACAAGTCCAGGACCAGATCAAAACCAGACAGGGACTGAGACCAGAACTTAGACCAGGACCAGACCAGGACTGAATCCGGGACCAGACCTGGACTAGGACCAAGACTGAGACTGGGAACAGGACCAGGACTGAGACCGAGACAGGGACCACACCGGGACCAGGACCGGGACCGGGACCAGGACTGAGACAGACTGAGACCGGGACTGACCAGAACTGAGACCAGGACTGAGACCAGGACCAGACCAGGACTGAAAACTGTTTAGTCTCGTTTCAGTCCTGGTTCAGTCCATTATCAGTTTTTTCCATTTTTCATTTAAACACAAAATTGAAAACTGAAAAAAACGAATCATTATCTGTTTTTTCATTTTGGTTTTGAAGACAAATAATGAAGAAACTTGTTGTAGAAGAAATAACAGTTCTAACACTTTTAAGTCTTAGTTCTTTGGATTAAGTCTTGTCAAGGCATTTTAAGAGGAAAAAGTAGAATATTAACAGTTTTACTTGTTTAGTCTCCACAAAATATCACAATAAATATCGTATCGTGAGATGTACATTGTGAAAATATCATACTGAGAGATTTGGATATTGTTACATCCCTAATCTTGAAGCCTTCCCACTATATTGTGAGCATCTCCTCAATATCGCAATAAATATCCTACCATGTGGTTCATACGGTGACGATATCGTATTGTGAGACTTGGATATCGTTACATCCCTAGCAATATGTGTTTTAAAATGTATTCAATAGGGATGTAACAATAACCGAAATATCGTGATATCGTAACGTCAATCGTGGGAAAGCTCACGATTAGAGATGTAACAATATCCAAATCTCTCGGTACAATATTTTCACGATATACATCTCACAGTACGATATTTATTGCGATATTTTGTCGAGGCTAAACAACTAAAACTTTTAACATGCGACTTTTTCCTCTTAAAATGCTTTGATGAAACTTTATCCAAAGACTTACAAGTGTTACAACTGTTATTTCTTCTTGTTGACGCTGAAATGGAGCAAAGGATCATGGTCTATGTAGTTCCCTCTGTCTTTTTTTTTTTAGCTATTGCTGCACCGTAACTCTTAATTTAAGCAAAGAAACTTGTAATTCGATATATTGTGAGAACTTTGACGGTATTTTGGTTATTGTTACACACTGTTGGGAAGTTTACTTTTAAAATGTATTCCCCTACAGATTACAGATTACATAACCCAAAATGTAGTTTGTAACATAATCCATTAAATTACTTAAAGTGAGTAATGTAATCTGAATACTTTGGATTACTTGGTTTGCTGTAGAGAAACAAAGACGAGGATACTTAACCTAAGATGTTTTGTCTGATAAAAGACAATAAAATCTCAGACTTTAGAAGAGGAGGAGACACGTCCACACAGCAGGATTTAGTCCTGTTAAATCCTGTTTGAGACATAGTTTAGACCTGGGTTTAATCCTGGTTTAGTCTTGGTTTATTCTTGGTTTAGTCCTGGTTTGGATCTGGTTTAGAACTTGTTTTAGGCCTGGTTTAGTCCTGGTTTAGTCTTGGTTTAGTCCTGGTTTGGATCTGGTTTAGAACTTGTTTTAGGCCTGGTTTAGATCTGATTTAGACCTGGTTTAGTCCTGGTTTAATCCTGGTTTAGTCTTGGTTTAGTCCTGGTTTGGATCTGGTTTAGAACTTGTTTTAGGCCTGGTTTAGGTCTGATTTAGACCTGGTTTAGTCCTGGTTTAGTCCTGGTTTAGACCTGGTTTAGTCCTGGTTTAGACCTGGTTTAGTCCTGGTTTAGACCTGGTTTTGGTTTAGTCCTGGTTTAGACCTGGTTTAGACTGGTTTAGACCTGGTTTAGTCCTGGTTTAGACCTGGTTTAGTCCTGGTTTAGACCTGGTTTAGACCTGGTTTAGTTTAGTCCTGGTTTAGACCTGGTTTAGACCTGGTTTAGTCTGGTTTAGAGTTACCTGGTTTTAGTCCTGGTTTAGACCTGGTTTAGTCCTGGTTTAGACCTGGTTTAGTCCTGGTTTAGTCCTGGTTTAGACCTGGTTTAGTCCTGGTTTAGTCCTGGTTTAGACCTGGTTTAGTCCTGGTTTAGTCCTGGTTTAGACCTGGTTTAGTCCTGGTTTAGTCCTGGTTTAGACCTGGTTTAGTCCTGGTTTAGTCCTGGTTTAGTCCTGGTTTAGACCTGGTTTAGACCTGGTTTAGACCTGGTTTAGACCTGGTTTAGAGTGCGGCAAGGAGTGGAATTACCAAAAAAAAAAAAAAAAAAAAAAAAGGGATATAGCCCAAAATGTGAAAACAGGAAAATACCTCTGTGTAATCCATTTATTTCAACAAAGTAACTGTAATCCAATTACCACTCACTGAAACAGTAACTGTAACTGAATACAGTTACTCATAATTTGTACTCTGATTACGTAACTGGTACATGTAATCTGTTACTCCACAACACTGTTGTTACATCCCTACATACTTTTTTTTACCTTTTATTTTGTACGTTTTAAAGTTACGTAGCTTGTATTTCGTTTAAGTTTCGCGTTATATATTTTTTTTACGTAAAATCTGCTCTCAGTCCTGTGCGAATTCCTGCGGTTCGGACAGTGATCGATGACGCCATTGGTCATCATTTGTCTCGGGAGGGGGGCTGTTTTGCTTCGAAACGGGATCATTTGGCACCACCTCCACCTCCACCTCCCCCCGGGCCGAGCGCGCACAAACAGCCGCCGGGCCCGCCCCCTCCCTCCGCGGCGTGCAGCTTTAAAAAGCCCCGGGCCCGCCTCGCAGCCCTCCACACACACGGACCACAGCGACGCGGACACACGCACCATCTCTCCGGACTTTAACTCTCGGGGTTTTTTTGTTGGATTTTTTTTTCTTCTGCAGGATTTACTTTACGCACGGGGGTCATGAGCTCGGCGTGCGTGGTCGTGAAGCCGCCTTCCTTCGGCGCAGCTCCGTGGTCGCGCCCGGTCACAGCGAACAGCCGCCCGGTCCCCAACACCAGGTACGTCCCGCTCTCTGGAGCCTCCTCACATCCCGAAAAAACCTATATTATTTCCATGTTTTCTACGTATTTTAATTGTACGTGTTTTAATTTTTTATTTACGCGTATTGCGTTGCTATGGCGACGCTACGCCGTGGTTTCGGAATATTTATTTTTGTCTGTTTGCACAAAAAAAAAAAAAAAAAAAAAAAAAAAAGTATGTAGATCAAATTTTAAGACTTCGTACGTCGATTTAAAGCAAATAATTACGGTTTTAAGATGAGCTCTTTGAACATTTAAATTTGTTAATAAGAAAATAACGTAACATTCAGTGTGTCTTGCCCAAGGACACAACAACAGTATGAACAGTTTTGATTGAGATCAAACTTCGTAACTTATTCATAACACAACTGACATAATTTAGACTAAACCAGGACTAAACCGAAACTAATCTAGGTCTAAATGAGTCCTGATTTAATCCTAGATTAGTACTTACCTAAGTCTAAATAAGTACTACCCCAAAACTAAACCAGGACTAAATAAGTACTACTCCAGGACTACTCCAGGACTAAACCAGTACTAAACCAGGACTAAATAAGTACTACTACAGGACTAGACCAGGATTAAACTGGGTCTAAATAAGCACTATTCCAGGACTAAATCAGGACTAAACCAGGTCTAAACCAGGTCTAAATAAGTACTACTCCAGGACTAAACCAGGACTAAACTAGGTCTAAATGAGACCTACCCCAGAACTAAACCAGGACTAAAGTGGGTCTAAATGAGACCTACCCCAGAACTAAACCAGGACTAAAGTGGGTCTAAATAAGTACTACTCCAAAACTAAACCAGGACTAAATATTATGTTTGTTTTTTCCCCGTTACATAACCTTAAAATAAGTTTAGTTACAATAAAAAAAATAAAAAATAAACGTTCATCTGTTTTTGTTATTTATTTATTTTTATCTATTTGCTGTCAGATTGGATTTTGCAAGTTATTTGTTTTAAAGGTGCACTGTGTACTTGTAAAACGTGGAGCGTCCGGTCAGCCACATGCTTGTCTCCATGGTGACGCTATTTATTTATTCATTTATTTATTTATTTGGCCTGGAATGTTCCACAGTAGGGCTTTAAACATATCTGCCTCAAAAATACCTTAAAAAACACAAACTTACAAACGTTTATTTACACACCGCAGAATAATCAAGTCAAAACAGCAATATTTCCATGGAAACAAGCACAGGGAAAGTTCCGCAGTGCAGCTTTAAGTCAGTATTTGTGTAATCTAAGGTGAATTCTTTCAAACTATTTCTAATAATGAATTTTCCGTTGTCATTTGTTGCAGTCAGACGGCGCTGTGGAGACCTTGGCTTTCCAACACCGACTCGAGACACGACGTGAGAGGAGCAGACTGACCTGTGTAAGTCTCACACACTCACACACACACAGTATTAAAGCTGCACTGCGGAACTTTCCCGCGCTGTCACCTGCTCGTCTCCATGGAGTTGTTATTGCTTTGCCTGGAATGTTACACTGAAAATGCAAAGTTTACCAAAGTTTACTGTGATCCAAAGTGAGAAAAATGATTTGACGAAGGTAGAGATGTAACAACAGCCGAAATATCGTGATATCGTATCGCCAAAGTTCTCACAATAATATCGTGGATCATCACATTATACCGAATTACAAGTCTCTGCTTAAATTAAGAGTTACGGTGCAGAAATTGTTAAAAAAAAAAAAAAAAAAGACAGAGGGAACTACATAGACCAAATCAAATCAAATTTATTTATATCACACATTTAAAAGAGCCAAAGTTTACCAAAGTGCTGAACAGTGAAATAAAACATACTATAGGCGAGTTTCATTGTTGACAAAAGTGCGCGTTGCATGCTGGGAATTATTTTGGTCAGCAGCAGTAAACACTAATTGAACATGACGGACGGAGCGAGAAAGCACGTAAAGGGTATTGATCCTGGTTATTTATCCACTCTAACAGCAGAGGACCCAAGACCATTTGACCAGAAATTGGTCATAAGCATCGATGGAGCCAAATCACCCTTTTCAACCCCGACAAAAGGTGGAACAAACCAAATTTCTGGTCAGAATCACCAACTACCTGAACAAATATTCACTTTGGTGATATCCACAATGACTTGGTGGAAACTCCTGGGCCATTCACAGCAGAAAAGATGAAAACCTCCAAGAGTCTCGATGTGTTGTTGAACTTGTTGGAGTCCACGGTTTGTTAGGATCTTCTACATTTGCTCTGCGGATGTTTGAAAGTCGTTTAATTCACCGTTAGTGGTTCTTTTCACTCAGAATATGAAAAAGACATTTTCCTTCTTCCGTGCTTCTATTTGTGCATCTGATAATGCAGCAGGAATTTACCATTATCGGAGATAAATACACGAGGTTACGCACTGTGTTTAACCACTACCATGTTTCTTACCTCCGACCAAAATATTTCCCAGCATGCAACACGGGCTTTTAATAACAATGACGTCAGCTGAAACTCGCCTATAGACAAATCAACGACAATAATATATAACTGTCATTGATTTGTTGATTTGTCAAAGGTGCACTTTGAGCAAGGATTTAAAGTGCTCCAGTGTTTGTGCAGTTCTAATGTTCAATGGGAAAGTGTTCATGGACCAACCACAGAGAAGGTCCTGTCTCCTCTGGTCCTCAGTCTGGTTCTGGGGACAATCAGGAGGTGCTGGTCTGCAGAGCGCAGACGTCTGGACGGGACATGCGGCTGAAGGAGTTTAAATAAATAGGCAAGTTTAAGCTGACGTCATTGTTATTAAAATTGCATGCTGGGAAATATTTTGGTCGGAGGCAAGAAACACGGTAGTGGTCAAACACAGTGCCTAACCTCACGTATTTATCCCCGGTAATGGTAAATTCCTGCTGCATTATCAGATGCACAAATAGAAGCACAGAAGAAGGAAAATGTCTTTTTCATATTCTGAGTGAAAAGAACCACTAACGGTGAATTAAACGACTTTCAAACATCCGCAGAGCAAATGTAGAAGATCCTAACAAACCGTGGACTCCAACAAGTTCAACAACACATCGAGACTCTTGGAGGTTTTCATCTTTTCTGCTGTGAATGGCCCAGGAGTTTCCACCAAGTCATTGTGGATATCACCAAAGTGAATATTTGTCCAGGTAGTTGGTGATTCTGACCAGAAATTTGGTTTGGTCCAGGCTTTGTCGGGGTTGAAAAGGGTGATTTGGCTCCGTCGATGCTTATGACCAATTTCTGGTCAAATGGTCTTGGGTCCTCTGCTGTTAGAGTGGATAAATAACCAGGATCAATACCCTTTACGTGTTTTCTCGCTCCGTCCGTCATGTTCAATTAGTGTTTCTTGCCGCCGACCAAAATAATTCCCAGCATGCAACGCGCGCTTTTGTCAACAATGAAACTCGCCTATAGGAAGGTGCCATTCTACTAAGACTCTTAAAAACAATCATTAAAATTTTAAAAATGGATTCTAAAATGTACGGGGAGCCGATGCGAGGATTTAAGAACAGGAGTGATGTCGACCATGATCCTTTGCTCCATTTCAGTGCAGACGACAAGAAGAAATAACTGTGCAAAAATATTGACATATCGATATATCATATCGTTTAACGTGATGATACAGTATGGATATCGTGGGCTGCTGTATCGATATATTGCTATATTGCTAAATTATTTTGTTACAGCTACAGTTTTGTTGTTTGTCTAGTGGAAGGAAACTCATTCACACTGCAAAAAGGTTTGTTAAAATGAAAATTAAGAACATTTGACTTTATCTGAGTCAACTCTACCAGTTGAATAAGTGTTTTTCTAAATTCATTTCTTATTTTAAGGGTTATTGTTTTTCTTATTTTAAGTGTAGTAAGTTGTATCTTCAGATTTTAAGTACAACAAAACATATTCCGCTGATAGATAATTTAACTTGTCAAGTGGAATTTACTCAGATCATGGTAAAATTCTCTTAATTCAAGTCATCTTAACTTGGCTAGATTACATTTTTTGCAGTGCATGTGACACATTTGACATTTTCACAGTTTTGATGATTAAAATGTTTGTGTTTCATATTCACTTTGCACAAGAAGTGGTTTAACAAAGACTTTTAGTGTCACAGCCATGATTTAGCGATTGTTTTTATTGAACTGTATCGAATCGGTGTGAAATATATCGTATCGAATTGAAAGTGAACTGTATCGAGATATGTATCGTATCGAGGCCTAGGTATCGAGGTATGTATCGTATCGGCAACTTCTTAATGATACCCAGCCCTACTTCTAACACTTTTAAGTTTTAGTTCTTTGGATTAAATCTTGTCAAGGCATTTTAAGAGGAAAAAGTAGAATATTCACAGTTTTAGTTGTTTAGCCTCCACAAAATATTGCATGAAATATCTTACTGTGAGATGTACATCGTGAAAGTATTGTACATTTGGATATCGTTACGTCTCTAATCGTGAGCCTCCCCAACATATCCTGAGCTTTCCCACGATATCGCAGTAAATATCGTACCGTGAGGTTCGCACCGTGACGATATCGTATCGTGAGACTTGGATATCGTTACATCCCTAATCATCATTAAACAATACAATATATCGATATTTTGATATTTATGCACACCCATACTTACAGGTGGTTTTATCAAAAAGCTCAAAAATACCTAGAAAAACAGACGTTCTGACTGAGCACACGGTCTGTGATACCAAAGTAAAAAAAAATTAAAATAAACTAAAAATACCATGACACTGTGTTTTGGTTCTGTTTTTCTGACTCTCAAACAGCCGGGTTCAGATTTATCACTCCAGAAGTCCGTGTTAGCACCTCGCCAAGAGTGTGATGAGGTGTTTACTGCCCGATGGGAGTGTGGGAAATTCCCTCTCACTCAGAATGACAAAATCTCCAGAGGTTCTCGATTTGGCGTGGCTAAATTTGGCTTTGACTTGCTGCACAATAGAACCAAAAAGTTTCATGCTTATTCAATTTGGGGAGAAAATAAACAGACCGAAGCCCAAAAAAAACCCCCAAAAAACATAACTTAAATCACTGTATTTTCTTAGTTAATTAAAGTTAATTAAATAAAAATAAAATAAAAGTAGTAAAGTACTGTACTGAAACCTTGGGTACCTGTACTTTTAGTTACTTTTACTCTCATCATCGTATCATCTTTGGACTGTTTACTTACGACTGTGATTTTTATTGCTCCTTATTTAGAAGTTTATTTCATTTTTAAAAATACTGCATATATGTATTTTATCTTACTCTTTTTTTATTACATTAGGGATATAAAAAAAGCCGAAATATCATGATATTGTATCGTCAAAGTTTCACAATAATATCGTGGACCATCACAATATATCGAATTACAAGTTTCTTTGCTTAAATTCATTGTTATGTAGCTTAAAAACAGACAGAACTACATAGACCATGATCCTTTGCTCTGTTTTAGTTCAATCTACTTGATAAATCAAATGTTAATAAGCACTTTTAAATCTTAGTTATGATGACAGAAAAGTAGCATATTTACAATCTCGTCAGCTTCTACAAATATCGCATTAAATATATCGTGAAAATATCGTATCGAGAGATTTGGATATCGTTATATATTCATATATTATATTGTGATGTGTGAGCTGCTGTGTCCAAATAACTTCCCTTATGGATCAGTAAAGTCCAAGGCTGCGTCTACATGACAACTCTCCTGGATTTTTTTATTTACGGGCTGAAAAAAAATTCACGTCCACACACGTGTCGGATCAATAAATATTCACGTCCAGACGACAACGGAGCACTGAGTGAAAAGGATGTAATACACCTGCCACACCTGTATGTGGCGCTGTAACAATGATAATAATATTTAATCATGCAAATCTCATCAACATTTCTTTTAAACTTTAAGGTCATTTAGTCAATTTTAGATTCTATCCCAGAAATATAGACGTTTTGTTTTGCAAAAGTGAAACATAAGTCACAGAGAGAACACTCATATTCCACTGAGTCGTGTCCTTTAGTCCGACAGAAGCTGAACCACATCAGCAGCACAATAGAGCTGTTTTTCTGAGCTCAGTTTATGCAAATGAGGCATGTGGTTTTAAGTTTTGTTTCTGTAAAGTGTAAACAAATGTGCTCAAAGTCGTGTGGACAGGGAAGGATCGTGGACAGAAACGACGTGTCTGGACGCAGATCGTTTCTGATACGGTGATACACAGATTCGTGTGTGATGTGTGAGATCTGCGGTGTGTGTTGTTAGTGTTGGCGCTAACAGTGTGTCTCGGTTGCTCATCAAAGTTTTTTTTTTTTTTTTAAGGTAATTTAGCTGATTTTAGATGAATCCCAGAAATATAGACGCTTTGTTTTGCAAAAGTTAAACAGAAGATTAAGTTAAATTTGGAGAGAATTATTAGAATAACTTGGTCTCAAAATCCAACAGTTTAATGACTCGTGTGTGATCTTTGTTATTGATCCGTGTGTGTGATCTGCGGCTCAGGAGCGGCTCCGTGGGCTGCACCTGTCGCATTTTGACAAAGGTCTTATGGTCCGTGGAAGCCAGTTTGAGGGCTTTGCTATATCAGAGGACTCTGGCGATGACGGGTTTGCGACGTCATCGTTTTCCAAAAGCTGTGGTTTGTTTGTCCACACGACAACGTGACACCGGCGTCTCCGATTTTTCCACTCTGGAACCTGTTCTCAAAAAAAACATTTTCGCCCACCCGAAACGCCGACTCTGTGTGGACGAAAGACCAAAACAAATAAAAACACAGTTTCGACCAAAAAACACGTTGTCGTCTAAAGGTGCACTGTGTAACTTTTCGGTTGGGGGTCCGTCACCTGCTTGTTTCTGTGCCTGGAATGTTCCACAGTGTGACTTTAAACAGCTCTGCCTTATGTTTATTCAATCACAGGTGGTTTTATCGCTCAAAAATACCTAAAAAAACAAACAAAACAAAAATAGACACTGTGACGGTGAGCTGTAACTTGGTCTGGTTTGGTCTCCATGGAGATAGAAAGGTTTAATGTCATACTGTGAAACATTCCAGACGAAGCAATGACACTTCCATGTAGAAAAGCGTTTGACGGAGCATCCACCAGAAAATCCACACAGTGCAGCTTTCACGTTGTTGAAGCAGACACTTGTGTTAAGAGCGTCGCGCCCGGTGATGCGTTCCACATGACCGGCCGCACTAGAACAACACGGCGCAGGGGCTTTCCTCTGCTGCTCTAATTAGCAACGCATCAACTCTCACACTGTTCAAACAAGCCCCCCGCACCAGGACCTATTTCCAGAGACCACGAAAGGGCCCGTACGACACCACTCTCTCATCTCTGCTCTCATGTTTCCTCATCACCAAAATATCAATAGATCGTATCGTTTAATGTGATGATACAGTATCGATATCGTGGACTGCTGTATTGCCAATAGGGCTGGGTATCATTAAGAAGTACAATATATAGGCCACGATACGATACATATATGATACATACGATACGATACATGATACATATCTCAATACAGTGAGCTTTTGGCTCAATACGATATTTGTAATTGATAATCGATACTTGTGCAAAGTTCATATGAAACACAAACATTTTAATCATCAAAACTGTGAAAATGTCAAATGTGTCGCATAAACGAGTTTCCTTCCACTAAACAAACAACCAAACTGTAGCTGTAACAAAATAATTTAGTAAAATAAACCAAAAAATGCTCTTGGTGATATATCGATACAGTAACCCACAATATCAATACTGTATCATCATATTAAATGATATGATATATCAATATTTTGATATTTTTGCACCCCCCCAATCGCCAAGAATATTTTTTGTATATTTTCTCAATTTTTTGTTACAGCTACAGTTTTGTTGTTTAGAAGAAGGAAACTCATTTCGACATTTTCACTGTTTTGATGATTAAAATGTTTCATGTGAACTTTGCACAAGAAGTGGTTTAACAAAGACTTATATGTCACAGTTTTTATTTTTGATTGAACTGTATTGAATCTAAATATAACATATTGAATTGAAAGTGCACTGTATCGGGATATGTATCGTATCGTGGCCTGTGTATTAAGACAACATGTCAAATTTGGTCAGCGATATTTGACATGTTGACATTTTGCAATAAATATTTAGTTTGGCCCATGACTTACTCCCAGTTTTTAATTTTGACCCTCTGTGAATCTGAGTTTGACACTCCTGATTTAGCCTTTATTTTTTATGGAACCGTATCGAATCGATTTGAAATATATTGTATCGTATCGTAAGTGAACTGTATCGAGATATGTATCGTATTGGCAACTTCTCAAGAAGACAGAAAAGTTTAATCCCAGACTGTGAAACATTCCAGACAAAGCACAAACATTTCCATGGAAAAAAAACGATTTGACACAGATTCCACCAGAAAAGTGACACAATGCAGCTTTAACGACAAAATAACGAAATTTTAAAAACACCAGGCTCAAGTAGAGCGGGTTAATACGAACATTTTAAAACCAAAATCACAAAGCAGCAGTTATAGAAAGAGGTGACAAGTTTTCAATGTAAAGTGAACTGGAGCCAGAGTCGATGGAGCCCAAAGCGGCGGCCATGCTCACTTCCTGTTTAGGACAAGGCTGGTTACTGGGTTCGCTCTGTCCATTTACATATATATACAGTTATACAGTCTCTGGCCGCTCTATGTCGTACAAAAATAGCTCTTCTTGCAGTATTGATGCAGTTTTCCTGTGCTCTCATCTTCTCTTTCTCCTCGTGCTTCCCTCCAGCCGTACTCCAGACCCGCCATCCCGGGCCGCTTCTCCTCCGACGGAAAACCTCAGATGTTCCAGCACCCGGTCAGGTCAGTCTCTGTTCTTCTGCACATGTATTATTGAGCGCACACGACTTTTAAAAGCATTTCTGGGTCGTCCAAAAAGTCCACGCTGACGCAAGACCCAGGCAAGATTCAGATTCTGATCCGTGTTCTTTCCTCATCACAAATATGACACCTGTTTTTAGCTTTTTTTTTATCTTCTCTGTGGTATCATCATTTTATTTGAGTATTGAGTGATTTCCTTAGTATTGAAATTAAAGCAGTGCACTTTCATTTACGTACAGTGTTGGGGAGTAACAGATTACATGTACCAGAGTTACGTAATCAGAGTACAAATTATGAGTAACTGTACTCAGTTACAGTTACTGTTTCAGTGAGTGGTAATTAGATTACAGTTACTTTGTTGAAGTAAATGGATTACATAGCGGTCTAAACCAGGTCTAAACCAGGTCTAAACCAGGTCTAAACCAGGTCTAAACCAGGTCTAAACCAGGTCTAAACCAGGTCTAAAACAGGTCTAAACCAGGTCTAAACCAGGTCTCCAGGTCTAAACCAGGTCTAAACCAGGTCTAAACCAGGTCTAAACCAGGTCTAAACCAGGTCTAAACCAGGTCTAAAACAGGTCTAAAACAGGTCTAAACCAGGTCTAAACCAGGATTTAAAAGGACTAAATCATGCTGCGTGGACCGGTTTCCTCGTCTTCTATCAATAATATTTTTAGTACAGTTAAGTAAAGTCTTATGTTACGATTTCCTCGTTTTTGCTTCTCTACAGCAAATCAAGTAATCCAAAGTATTCAGATTACATTACTCACTTTAAGTAATTTAATGGATTCTGTTACAAACTACATTTTGGTGTATGTAATCTGTAATCTGTAGGGGAATACATTTTAAAAGTAACCTTCCCAACACTGTTTACATATGACATATTTCAATTTGATTCGATACGGTTTAATAAAAAATAGGGATGTAACAATAACGGAAATATCATGATGTCGTATCGTCAAAGTTCTCACAATAACATTGTGGACCATCACAATATATTGAATTACAAGTGTCTTTGCTTAAATGAAGAGTTCTGGTGCAGCAATAGATAAAAAAAAAAAAAAGACAGAGGGAAAAGATTCATATGAACAAAAAAATAGAAAAGCCATTTCAGCTTTCTACAACTCTCTGGGGGAATGTAGAGAAGAAACAACGGAAACGGGAAACAGAGTTGTCAATAGGGGTGTGCAAAAATATTGAAATATCGATATATCGTATCGTTTAATGTGATGATACAGTATAGATACCGTGGGTTGCTGTATCAATATATCGCCAAGAGGATTTTTTGGTATATTTAACCTAATTATTTTGTTACAGTGCCACAGTTTTGTTGCTTGTTTAGAGGAAGGAAACTTGTTTATGCGACACTTTTGACATTTTCACTGTTTTGATGATTAAAATGTTTGTGTTTCATATGAACTTCATATGATACAGATTCAAAGAGTAAATGAAACCAAATTTTTAGGAGTTATGATTGATGAAGGTCTAAGATGGAGTTTGTCTCATATAAATGACACAAAAGGCAAAATTTCCAAAGCCATTGCTGTTCTGCATAAAGTCAAGTTCTCACTAAACAGTACAGCATTATTCACTTTGTTATAACTCTATAATTGTACCAGATCTGATGGACTGTGTGGAAATTTGGGGTTCAACATGTAAAACTCACCTACAACCTTTATTTATTTTACAAAAAAGGGCCTTGAGAATCATCACAAACAGTCATTGTAGAGAGCCTCCAAATCAACTTGTTCAACTTAAAGTGTTGAAAATGCAGGATATTGTTGACTTAAGTCTCCTCAAAGTCACGTATGAAGCAAAGTGTAATGTGTCACCGGTAAATATTCAAAGACTGTTTGAGATGAGAACAAGACACTACAATTTAAAAGGAACCTACATGTTTAAAAAACCCAGATTCAGAACCAAGATTATGGAGCGAAGTGTCACTGTGAAAGGAGTTCACTTATGGAAGAGTCTTGACAAAGAAATAAAAGAATCAAGTACAATGACGACATTTAAAAAACAGATCAAATCGAATGCAGTGTGTATGTATGAAAAAGAAAACTAAGTTGTTGTGTATAATAATGAAGATTTACTGTTTGCAATTGATCAGTAATTGTGCCTGAACTGATCTGGAATGTTTCGTAACCATTGGTGTTGATGTTTTGTCTTGAAAAAGGAAAGGGGGGCAGATAACATAAGATTTTTTTACTTCTTTTTGTTCCTTTTCATTCATTTCTTGTGTGTTTGATGTTGTGACACTGTCGATGTCTTTTTATGCTTTATGTATGAAATAAATAAAATAAAAATAAAATAACTTTACACAAGAAGTGGCTTAACAAAGACTTTTATTATCACAGCCATGACTTAGACTTTATTTTTTATTGAACCATATCGAATCAATTTGAAATATAGCGTATCGAATCAAAAGCTCACTGTATCGAGGTATGTATCGTATCGGCAACTTCTTAACGATACCCAGCCCTAGTTGTCAATTAATATAACAGATGCAGAACGGTTTCAGATGTGTAAAATACACCATAGTACCACTAATTCACTGTTGTGGAGGGAAAATTGCTGGAAGAATTTGACACGTTTTTTTCATTACACCTAAAATCAAAAGTATGAAAATGAAACAAAAAAACACAACTCCAGCTCTGTTTTTGTGGAGGTAACAACATAAGGACAGATCAGAAAACTGGGTAGTATGGGCCCTTTAACAGAAAACGTCTTTATTTTAGTGGTTTTATTTATTTATTGCTTTTCTGTGGTTTTGCTCTTATTTCATTTTTTACCAGTTTTATTGTTTTGAGACTAGTACGATGAAATTTGAGCGTTTATTTTATCATTATATTATTGTTGTTATTATTATGTATTTGTGCAGCACTTTGGAAGCTGTTTGTTTACTAAATGTGCACTAGAAATAAAATGGATTGAAAAAAAAAAACAAAAAAAAACCTGCATCTAATCTCGATTTAAATTTTTTTTTTTTCATTTCTCCTGAACAGACTCTTCTGGCCCAGATCCAAATCCTTCGACTACTTGTACAGCGACGGGGAGGCGCTGCTCAGAAACTTCCCCGTCCAGGCCACCATCAGTTTCTACGAAGACTCCGACAGCGACGACGACGACGACGAGGAAGAGTGTGACGAAGAGTCTGAGGAGGAGAAGGAGCACGCAAAACCGAGCTCCCGTTTGGACGCTCTCAACTGAAGGACACGGACGGGACGACGAGATGTTAACGTGACTGATTTAACAGGTTTCGGACTTAAAATAACGAGGAAAGGAGAAGTTTTCAAGGTTATGTCTTCATCAAACTACTTTTTATACATTTCTAGACGCTTGTGAATGATTCAAGAAGATTTTAGGGGCTGTATTTTTACATTATTTAATTTTTTTATTCAAATCTGGAGCACAAACATTTAGTTAAAGTGTTCATATTACGCTATTTTCTCTGTTAAAATGTAGTTTCCTCGTCACAAACTGTTTTTTTTTTTTTTCACACAAACTCGGCAGATTTAGGTTTAGGAGTTCGTCTCTCAAGCTGAAAACACCCTGTTCCAATTTGTGATGTCATATTGTAATACAGGAAGTACTCCACTGTGTTTTTAAACTCTATAGGCGAGTTTCATTGTTGACAAAAGCGCACGTTGCATGCTGGGAATTATTTTGCTTGGCGGCAAGAAACACTAATTCAACATGACGGACGTAGACATAGACCTGGTTTAGACCTAGTTTAGTCCTGGTTTAGACCTAGTTTAGACCTTGTTTAGACCTTGGTTAGACCTTGGTTAGACCTTGTTTAGACCTTGTTTAGACCTTGGTTAGACCTTGGTTAGACCTTGGTTAGACTTTGGTTTAGACCTGGTTTAGACCTTGTTTAGACCTTGTTTAGACCTTGGTTAGACCTTGGTTAGACGTTGTTTAGATGGGGGCTAGACCTGGTTATATTTACCGAATTATTGGGGCCTTTCTGAATCCCGACAGGATGATTTCGGGGTCACTGAAGGACCTTGGGTTAGACCTAGTTAAGACCTTGGTTAGACCTTCTACAAAGTGAAACCGTCTGATGAATCAGGTCAGTGACTTCAGGAAAGTTTCATGGTGCATCCTCCCGGCGTCACAAGTTTCTCTCTCACTCCAAACTTTCTTTCTTTCTGCTGCTCGATTTCCGTTTTCAGCTGCAGATTTCATGACTTACAGTTTGTAATCTGCAGAATCTGATTTTGTTTTTTTGGGGACGTTTGTGTCTTAAATGTTAAATTGTTCAGTGGTGCAGAAGTAACGGTGCGATCGACTGACATGATACAGACAGGACAGAGGCTCTTTCTGCAGGAGACATGTGCAGTAGAGTGAAGTGACAGTGGTGCAGGAGGAACAGGAGCAGATCCTCACACACAAGACTAGAACCTCTCCACACTTCACGAAAAACATTTTAATATAGAAGTCGCACCGGAGAATAAGTCACCAGAAAAAAAAAGTGCAACTTATAGTCCAAAAAATGCAGTAAATAAAAAGTAAAAAGTAGGAGTTAACTTGAAAATTGCTGCTTGATGACATCACAAGGTGGAACGGCGCACTTTGAGCTTTGGACGAATAATAAAGAGTTACTCAAAAATGTGTGAATGAAACAAAACACAAGTCCAGGTCTTTGTTTTTGATGAGGAAACGACATTATAAACACGACTTAAAGCTCATGAGAGTCAGTTTTGCGTCATGTAGGATGTTTTGGATTATTTTTCTGAACAAAATTACAAAAATATTCTGTCATATTTTGCTCTCCGTAGAATTTTACTTGTTCTTTTTTACTTTAACTGCATCCTTCTTGCCACGTTTTACAGTTTTCCGTTGTCGGCGTCGCCAAAGCCTGTTTGTCGTTGGTCGTTTACTTTTCCCACATTGGGATTCAGACTCAGGGTGACCTCTGTAAATAAAACCGATTTTAACTTATGGATGTAGATACACTGTAAAAAGTACATATTTATATTATTCTTATACTTTTGTCTCGACACTGTTTAAGATGTTTAAGGTTTGAGGTTGTTTTGAAATAAAATAACCTGCTTATTTTTCAGTTTTCTTGTATCTGCGTCTTTTTTCTTGGTGATAACAAAATGAAATCAGAAGCACCATCCATCCATTTTCGTCCGCTTATCCGGGGCCGGGTCGCGGGGACAGCAGCCTAACCAAGGACTCCCAAACTTCCTTCACCCCAGACACGTCCTCCAGCTCCTCCGGGGGGACCCCGAGGCGTTCCCAGGCCAGCAGAGACATAGTCCCTCCAGCGTGTCCTGGGTCTTCCCCGGGGCCTCCTCCCGGTGGGACATGCCCGGAACACCTCCCGAGGGAGGCGCCCAGGAGGCATCCGGAACAGATGCCCGAGCCACCTCAACTGGCTCCTCTCGACGTGGAGGAGCAGCGGCTCTACTCCGAGCTCCTCCTGTGTGACTGAGCTCCTCACCCTATCTCTAAGGGAGCGCCCAGACACCCTGCGGAGGAAACTCATTTCGAGCGCTTGTATCTGCGATCTTGTCCTTTCGGTCACTACCCAGAGCTCATGACCATAGGTCATTTCATATGGTCAAATCAGAAGCACAGTTGAGTTAAAAGTGCATAGAGATGTTATTACTGAACCAGGTCCGGGACAAGACTGGAACTAGACTGGGACTAAGACCAGGACTTAGACCGGGATCACACCATGATTGAGACTGGGACTGAGACCCAGACTGAGATCAAATCGGGACCAGACCAGGACTGAGACTGGGACTGAGACTGGGACCAGATCAGGACTGAGACTGGACCATAGACTTCTATAGAACACAGTCTGTGACCAACACAGAGGACGAAATAATGACCCGACCTGAGACAAAACTCTTCCCTTGGACGCAGCAGGAGCCAGACTTTGATTTAATGAACGCAACTTTAACACTTTTACTTTAGTCTTTACACACCGAGCGCCAGAGTGACCTGAGTCTGCGGACAACACGAAGCCCACTGCCCAAACCTGACCCCAACCAAAATCTTCCCTACATTTTTGTGTAATGGGGAACTGAGCACATGAGAGCTGCTCTCTGACTGTATGAACAGAACAGAATAATGCCCCCGACCCAGACCCACACTCACAGACCCACACTCACAGACCCACACTCACAGACCCAGACCCACACTCACAGACCCACACTCACAGACCAGACCCACACTCACAGACACTCACAGACACCACACACAGAGTCAGACCCACACTCACAGACCCAGACCCACACTCACCACCCACTCACAGACCCAGACCCACACTCACAGGTTCAGCAGTTTGGATGTTTCGTGTGGACTTTAATTGGCAGAAGAACATCTGTATCTGATGTGTTTCATGTTAAATCTGTGTCCTCGTGTCCCTCCCTCGCTCCTTTCCCTCTCCAGGGGAGGGCATCTGAATCTCTCCCACGAGCTCATAATTTGACCATTCAGATCAGCGCATGCATGTATCTACGTGTATATGCATAAATACAGGCCCAGTCCACACACACATCATACACAGACTTAAAAATATAGGGATAAAACTCTCGAAACAGTGAAAAAACACATGTGTTTTACTGCAAAGATGTGCTGCCTAAATATTATAAAAAATGATTAAATGAACAGATGAGTCATTGTTGTCACTTTTAGTTTTGTATCTATTTATTAAACCTTGTTTAATAAAGTCTTTAATAAAGTGTTTGTCGTGATCACGTGGTGCTGCGTGGAGCCTCCTCCCTCTGTCTCGCGTGTCTCGGTCAAACCCATTGATTATCGACTCATGTTTAGGGAAATCTCATTCACCAGTCACTTTACATGCTCCTGTTATGGTGAGGTGGAGGTGTGAGGGGGCGTGACGTGACGTAGGTTTACGTGCGCAAATTCTAGTTGCAGGTGGGATTTAGCAAAGATTGTGGGTTTGGTGAGTACGGTGGGTTTTCTAAATATGGAGTTTGCGTGACGCACGCCTTGTCGTAGCTACAGGCGTACGCACTAACTTACGACAACTCCTGCACAGTTTGTATAAATGAGGCCAAGATCTAAACCAGGACTGAGACCAATTGAGCAGAACAAGGACTGAGACTGGAACTGAAACCAGGACCAGCCTGGGACTGAGACCGAGACCAAGACCAAGAAAATTGCTGTTTTTTCATTTTCTTATTTTTGGTTTTATATTGAAAAACAAATGAACGAACGACACATGGATTAAAAGTGCACATAAAAAAAATAAAATAATTGCAACAAAAACGGTTTCACCCACAGTCAAATTAAAGGTGCGCCTCTTACTCGTCTCTGGAGCATCTGTCTCTTGTTTGTTTCCATGGAGATGTGCCTATATGCTCCACAGTATGTCCATAAACTTACAAATCTCCGTGGAGACCTGCCAACCAGATTACAGGTCAGATCTGTGGAGAGGCGACCCCGCTCACAGTCAGAATTCATGTTTTTTAAGATATTTTCGAGCTGTAAAAACACGTGTAATTGAATAAATGTAATAAAGTAGAGCTGTTTAAAGTCATACTGTGGGACATTTCAGGCCGAGCAATGACGTATCCATGGAAACAAGCAGCTGACAGACCCCAAACTAGAAAAGTTACGCCTCGTCTTGTATCTGCGTCTTTGTCCTGGGTGATAAAGGAATCAAGGAGCTGATCCGTCAGACTCCTGAAGTTAAAAGTGATCTTCTCCTTCTTCTCCTTCTTCTCCTTCTTCTTCTTCTTCTCCTTCTTCTCCTTCTTCTCCTTCTTCTTCTTCTTCTTTTTCTTCTTCTTCTTAACTTAATTCTGTCTAAACGTTCCGGCTTTTGCAGATTAGTTGGAGATGTATTTACGGGGGGTAAAAGGCGGGAAGGCGGGGGGAGGGTCTGCTCTTCTCCTGACGAACGGGCAGTGTTGGGGAGTAACAGATTACATGTACCAGAGTTAAGTAATCAGAGTATAAATTATGAGTAACTGTATTCAGTTACAGTTACTGTTTCAGTGAGTGGTAATTGGATTACAGTTACTTTGTTGAAATAAATGGATTACACAGAGGTATTTTCCTGTTTTCACATTTTGGGCTAAACCAGGACTAAACCAGGACTAAACCAGGTCTAAACCAGGACTTAACCAGGACTAAAGCAGGTCTAAACCAGGACTAAACCAGGTCTAAACCAGGACTTAACCAGGACTAAAGCAGGTCTAAACCAGGACTAAACCAGGACTAAAACCAGGTCTAAACCAGGACTAAAGCAGGACTGAACCAGGACTCTTAACCAGGTCTAAACTAGGACTAAACCAGGACTGAACCAGGACTCTTAACCAGGTCTAAACTAGGACTAAACCAGGATTAAACCAGGACTAAAACCAGATCTAAACCAGGTCTAAACCAGGACTAAATCAGGACTAAACCAGGACTAAAACAGGATTTAACAGGACTAAACCAGGACTAAAGCAGGACTAAAACCAGATCTAAACCAGGTCTAAACCAGGACTAAATCAGGACTAAACCAGGTCTAAAACAGGATTTACCAGGACTAAACCAGGACTAAACCAGGTCTAAAGCCGGACTAAAGCAGGACTAAAACCAGGTCTAAACCAGGACTAAACCAGGACTAAACCAGGACCCTTAACCAGGTCTAAACCAGGACTAAATCAGCACTTAACCAGGTCTAAAACCAGGATTTAACAGGACTAAATCCTGCTGCGTGG